TGGGGACCAGAGGAGGAAAGGGAATTGGGGAGTGGGGACCAAAAGAAAAGACTGATATAATTGGTACTTGGCTCTGTTGGGGGAAAAAATGGGAGACCAGGGGAGGAAAGTGAATGATATAAAATTTGTGATCTATTTTTTCACATTTGTTCTAAAAAAACTCTAGGGGCACCTTTACGATTATATCAAAATTGTATAACTATTATACAAATTTGAGGGGAGGCACCCAGTGCCCCCACCTTAAATCCGCCCTGAGCCTTGCACTGTTGGTAATAATTGCGAATCCCAAAATGCGGCAACAATTTCCTTACCGAAGGAGTATATAAAAATCTAAGATTCTTTCACCGTTGAATACCAAGTGGATTTCAAACATTTTGATAAGAAGACAATGGTGAACCATAGCATTAAACTAGTGTCATTTAAGAGTTTTCCTGTTTTCTATATTTACTGTTGTGGTTACCATTAATGATTTTGTGTTGTCAACTTTTTCCTGGTTATATTGTTCTATAGTTTTAACTTAGCTGTTAACCTCACTTGTTAATTACCATTTTACTTTGTAAATATTTCTGGTGATTGGCAGAGTCCTCTTTTCTTTTCTTTTGTTAATCCCATCTGTCTCATGGGTCTCCTTTCTCCTCTGCTTAGTTTCTTACACCTTCACTTTGTTTCGTTTCTGAATTGATCTTGATCAGGCTGTTATTTGCTGTTCTTTCTCTGTATTGATTTTCACTCTGTTACAAGTGAGGACGAACGAGAAGATTTGAATCTCGTTCCATTTTCCAACTTGCCACTTTCTTTGTTTGGCCTTTTGTATTGTTTATTTGTGTGTGTATATATATATATATATATATATATATATATATATATATATATATATATATGACCAATTATTCAAGGACAGGCCAGTGGTCCTTTGATTGTAGCTTGTGCAACATCATTGGAGGTGGCCATGTCCAATTCTGAATTATTGCCGGCACAGCCATTTCAAAACCTGCATCATTTGTTAGGACATGGCCAACGTTGGGACCAATCACAATCTGGCAGATTGCTAAACTGAAAAAATTTGCCCATGCATCACGGGAACATTGAAATTGCCTGTGCATCACAGGATCATTAGAGATTCCTCAGGCATGTGGATCAAAGGCTATTACAGAAACATTGGAAATGCTACCAATATCCTGGCTGAACTTTGGCGTATTCGAGATGGGTTGGAATTGGCCTGCTCACTCAATATATCTCACCTTGAAGTTGAAATAGACTGTGTGGATATTATCTCTATGATTAAATCTACTGAAAATGTTTATCACTATTTACATCTTTCCATTACGGATTGCACTATTGCAGATTCCTCTTCTCGCAGCTTCGGAAAGTTAGAATCTCCCATGTCTATCGTGAGGCCATGATGAGAAGCAAGCAGAATAGATACTTCACCACTTTTGATAGATGCCCTCAGAAGTCTGCCTTCCTCGTGGTATTCCTATGGCTTGTAATGGCTAGTGAAACTGCTTTTGTTCTGTACTTTATTAATGCATTCCTCTTTTTACCAAAAAAAAAAAAAAAAGAACATAATGGCCCTGGAAAAGAATGAACAAAAGCCAAAAGAAAATAAATGAAAAGAAAAGGAAAACTCACGGTTGTGCGTGTTTCAGGTGCACCTGCTATCAGGATAGGTATTTGCTATGTTATTCGGACTCTTCATTTGGTTTGATCCCAAAGTAACCGCAGCGGACCTTCTGTCCCATATCCTGCGCCACTCTCTATTCCACTTTTTATTATATTGCTATTTCTCCTACATAAATATAATGTTTTATTTCTCTTTTGTTTCTTAAAGATCCAATAACTATTAATTGAGTAACACACAAAATTTAACAAACTCAAAATATCAAAATGCATAAAAATGAGATTTTTTTAGGACTTTTCTGCTATATTTTAAATTTTCTATTATATATTACTTTTTTGAAACTGTTGTATTTGTTTTTTTTTACTCAATTAATAGTTATTGAATCTTTAGGAAATAAAAGAGAACTAAAGCATGGTGTTTATGTAGAAGAAATAGCAATATAATAAAAAATAGGATAGAAAGTGGCGCAGAATATGAAACAAAAAATCGGTTGTGTAAAGTACCCATGTGCACGCTACATGACACTTCGAAAATTTTTTGGACATTTTGACTTTGTGAGGTTTAATGTCCCAGGAAGAGGAGAAGACCTGGCTGAGAAAACTCATAGGTGTGGAAGAGTTGTCGCATTGGAATCCTTATTGCACTAGAGTCCTTTTGAGCTATGAGTTGCTCGTTACTTTAGAATTCTCCAATCCTTAGTGAGGTATGACCTGTACGTTGGCTGTATTATATAATACTAATATTTACTAGAAATTTTGTTATGCCAGCGTACTCGTATTTGAGTCCTTAGAAGTATCTTCGTATTCTAATTTTAGATGATTGTTGCATAAGACACTTAGACGCATAACCAATCTGACATCCGTACCCAAGTTCAAGTGTATTTGGTTGAAAACTGTAAATATATATGAATTAAATTTTTTTATACTGTCAACGTAAAAATTTTTTTTTACATAGGTAAAGATTAAAAAGACGCCACGACTTGTGCATTCTAATTTTAGATTGAAGCTGGTACATTTTAATACGTGCATCTTTTGTTTTAAAGATCTTTTGTAAAGTAGGTATGGAACCGAATTGGCGTTGAAGCTATGAATGGAAAAAACCAAACAATCTTCTCTGAAGAAACCGGGAAAAAGATAAGCAATACCAAGACTAAGATAAATCTCAATATTATTCCATTGATTGCTCTGGTATAAAAGTATTTATGCAGGAAACAAATCCTAAGAAGAACAAAGAAACTACAATACCATACCGAATTAAAATAAATTTACTAAAGAGCAAAAATGATAGAAAATTGTAAAAGCCCCTCGTTCCAATATATGAAATCATTAAAATTCCTAATCTAAAAACTACACAATCCACAATATCAAGGGATAATTTCAGAAACCTCTCTTAAAACTTTTCATAATGCCACTTAGCACCTTCGAGGTTACCAAAATCTTACTCACCTCGAAAGTGCTTGCTTGAGTTGACATTTTTTTTTTTTGTAACATGTCAGCCACTCTGGGAGAAAAAACAAGAGATAATATTTTGGTTCAAATTAGACTCTTATGTTATTCTATTTATGAATCTTATAATAACACTGGAAATTGGGATAATTTGCACTTGAAAATTTTAAAAACTCACTTATCATGTCTCTATCAAAGGTTACAAATTGATAAAATTGTTTTTGCACTCTTATTAGCCTATGCATGCTAATAAGGCGCTGCTTCAGTGGGTTGTGGCTGTGTATTGCAGAGCCAGTCTCATCTAGTCATAATTTTTCCAGTTATTATTATTTTTTGTCCTTTGTGTTGGTTTTCGAAAAGGTTTCAGCAAGCTCATTATTACAACGGAAACAAATGAGGTTAGTCCTTAAAAATTTCAAACCCAACGTCACCGCTACTACTGGGAAAATCATAAGGATTCTACTAATGAAAAACTCGATGCTTTGAAACTTGGACCATTAATTGAACCAGTGAAGTGACCAGGTCGAGATTCAACCGATCGAATCAGTTCAACCCCGGTTCGATGATATTTTATATACTTACATACATATATACATACATACATACATAAAAATATATATATATATATACACACACTTGTGCACAGAATAATTGTTTCAATTTTTTCAGGCTGTTATCCCATGAACTAATTAAGATCACTTGATAAAAAATTAAATATTTTTAAACACAAATAAATTTTTTAAAATTGTAAATTCAAACAAATAAATTCATCTCAATTGTACCTACTTGGTAAAAATCTTAAATCCCACACAAACCACAACCATATTCTAAAATTAAACAAAATGCATTGGAACTTTTGAAATTAAACAAAATCTAATAGAACTACAAAAGAAAACAGTAATCTTTGAGTTTGAAGGTGAGAAATATAGAGGGTTTGGTTGCTCTTTTAGAAATTAGTGTTGGGAACAAAAGATTCTACTAATAAGTTTTATTATGTTTAAAGCTTTAGGTTCAATTTTTTTAAAAAAAAAGATGGAAAAAATGAAAAAACCATGGTTCAATTGGGATTGAACGGTCCGATCAATTTTTTGCGATTTTGACCGATTTTTATAAAAAAATCAACACTAATAATGAATCAAATTGGAGACTTAGCCGGTTCACGGTCCGACTAGTCAAATTGGCCAATTCGATCTGGCTTTCAAAACATTGGAAAAACTCAACCAACTCTGTGCAGAAATGACTGACCTTTGCTTGCAAACTACGGGATTGAACTCGCCATATACATACACGTTGCCTATAAGAATCAAAGAAAACAAATTTTGTCCCAAGTCCACATACCGGCCATAAGTTGTTGGGAGACAGCTGTGTTAGAGTTATTTTCTAATTTGGGTTTCTACTGATTATATTTGTTTTTGTTAAAAAACAGATTAAATGAAAATTGGTAAAATCCACTATAGTTGGGGTTTAAATCTGTCTCAGTTATCTATTTTGTGTGATATACAGGGTGTAGAGCCTGTTATTCAGTTTACCGTTACCTTAGTTGGAGCTTCTACTACAATTATAAAAGGCTAGGTCCTCAATCCCATCGAAGTGTTAGGAGCGGGTAATTGGGTTAGAAATTGGGAAATCGGGTCAGAGATTGAGGGCATGAAACGATGTCGTTCCATTTAATAGGAATTGATTTGGGTAGGGCGGCTAATTGCTTAGTCGGATGAATGTATTAAAGATAGGCCCCACTTGTGTACAAGGGGACAAGAAATAACTGAATTAGTTGCTTCCCTCTCTGCTCATTTCTCTCTCTTTTCTTCTTGCTTCCTTCTTCCTTCCGGATATTCCCTTTCCCTCGTCAGGTTCCATCCAGATTGCATGCTTATTACTTCAGAGCCTAACAATTGGTAATCAGAGCCTTAGATCCTTGGGGCAAGATCAAATCCATGGCAGAAGGTACGAGATTCAGGACATTGGAGGAACAAGTCAAGAGGCAGGAAATCAAGCTCCAAGAACTGATGGAATCTCTACTTTCACATCAATCAGAGCAGCAACAACTTAAGAACAACTTAACAATGGAATTGGAAGAAAACAACAAACGGATGGAGAATATGTTGTCAGGAATGGAACAGAACTTCAGCAAGTCTCTGGATCAGAAATTCAATGCACTGCTATCCAGGATGACTACTGCGCAGGACAAGGTCACGGATAGGGGAGAAAGAATCCTGATGGATCAGGGACCACTTCTTCCTACGCCGCCGCCTCATCAGAGATTGCAACCTGAAGGAGATCAACAGAATTCCTGCAAAAAAGATTGGAGTAAGTACCAACTTCCTAATCCTCCTAAGATAGATTTGCAACTGTTTAGTGGAGAAAATCCTAGGGAATGGTTGCGCAAGTGTGATAAATACTTCATGAATTATCAAATTCTGGAAAATCAGAAGGTTGAAATCATAGAAATGTACTTAGATAGAAGGGCGGATAAGTGGTTCCAAGGTATTAAACTTGAGAGGCCTGGATTGAGTTGGACAGAATTTGGAGATCTGTTATGCAAATGATTCACAGACAGTATTTGCAAGGATATAGTAGAGGAATTTAATAAGCTGCAACAGGGAGGTAGTGTGAGAGAATATCAGGAGCAGTTCGAAGAATTGAAACCATTAATGTTAATTAAGAACAGGAATTTAGATGAGCACTACTTCATTTCTAGCTTCATTAGTGGCTTGAAGGAGGAGATCAAACCTATGCTTCGGATGCTGAAGCCTGCTACTTTGACTGAAGCTTTCGAGCTGTCTCAGTGGCAGGAGTATTCACTCCAGGTGCAGAATAAGAACTCTAAACAGTCGGGAGAGGGTAGGTTTGGATTTTCAAGGGGTAATACATCAGTGGTAGATAGTAACACTTACAAGGTCCCTGTCAGTAATGCTCTTAAGGCCCCTAGGTACAGTAATAAGGTGCAGGAGGATGATAAGGACGTGAAGAGGATTTCAACACAGGAGCTGCAGTTTAGAAGAAGTAGGGGACTGTGCTTCAAGTGTGGAGAAAAATATGGTGTAGGACACCAATGTAAGCGAGGGTATGTAAACTGTATGATATTGGAGGATGAAGAGGATGCAGTCTTTGAAGATGCTGTGGGTGAGCAGGATGAACAGACAGGGAATCCAGGACAAACTATGGAACTGTCCCTACATGCATTGTCTGAATCCCTGAGAAGCAAAACAATTACATTGACAGGCAACCTTGATGGGGAGAAAGTTTTTATTTTGGTAGACACGGGTAGCTCAGACAGTTATATCAACAGTGAGATGGTAATTGGGATGGATATTGCTTACAGAATGGTTAAACAGCCATTTTCTGTCATCATGGGAAATGGAACTACTGTGACCAGCAATGCTATCTATCCTAATGTGCACTGGAAAATTAACCAACATAGTTTCAGATTTGATTTGAAGGTGATGGAGTTAGAAGGATGGGATATAATTTTGGGGGTGGACTGGATGACACACTTTAGTCCTATCACGTTTGACTTCCAACAACTCAGGATATCCTTACACAGTGAAGGAAATGAAATTCACTTACATGGACAAGCAGAAGATGGTGATATGGATTTAATCAGAGGAAGGGATCTGAGAACCTTCATAGAATATAAAAGACAGATGTGCTTGGCTTTGAACTGTAAAAAGGAGATAGGAGGAGAGGCAGCAGTTATTCCCCAGGAAATCATGGAAGTGCTTCAGGATTATGATGATGTGTTTCAGACTCCAAAATCCTTGCGCCCTCCCAGAAATGTGGAACATGAGATCCTTCTCAAGAAGGAGGCACAACCTTTCAAATTGAAGCCCTACAGGTACCCCCACTGTCACAAGGAGGAAATAGAGAAACAGGTGGAAGAAATGCTTCAAAAAGGAATAGTCAAGCACAGCAACAGTCCTTTTGCTTCACCTGTGCTGCTGGTTAAGAAGAAAGAAGGGACTTGACGTTTTTGTGTGGATTATAGAAAATTGAATGAAATGACCATCAAGGACAGGTTTCCAATTCCCAACGTGGATGAACTACTGGATGAGTTAGTTGGGTCTGTTTACAAAACAAAATTGGATCTCACCGCAGGGTACCATCAGATCAGGGTTAAGCCTCAAGACACCTTCAAGACAGCTTTTCAGACTCACTGTGGACACTTTGAATTTTTGGTCATGCCCTTTGGGCTTACTAATGCACCAGCTACTTTTCAATCATTGATGAATCAGATATTTCAACCCTATCTGAGAAGGTTTGTATTGGTCTTTTTCGATGATATTCTGGTGTATAGCCCTACCATGGATGCTCATGTTTAACACTTGAGGGCTGTATTCGAGATTCTAAGGAAACATCAACTTTATGTGAAGAGATCTAAGTGTGCTTTTGCCCATAAGAGGGTTGACTACTTAGGGCATACTATCACAGATCAGGGGGTTAGCATGGACTGTTCAAAAGTTAGTAGCATTCTGGAGTGGCCTGTGCATCAGTCAGTTAAGGAGTTGAGGGGTTTTCTAGGCCTTACAGGGTACTATAGGAGGTTTATTCAACACTATGGCCTGGTGTGTAAACCACTCACGGAGTTACTAAGAAAGGATAACTTCAAATGGAACAGTCAAGCTCAGGATGCATTCGAACACTTAAAAAAATTGATGTGCTCAGCTCCAATTCTGCAGTTACCAGATTTTACAAAACCTTTTGTGGTGGAGACAGATACGAGTGGGGGAGGAATTGGAGCTGTCTTAATGCAGGAAGGACATCTCATTGCCTTCCTGAGCAAGGCACTTTCAATCAAAAACTTGGGACTCTCAGTCTATGAGAAAGAGCTCTTAGCTCTGGTAATGGCTGTCACAAAATGGAGGCATTATCTGGTGGGAAACCATTTCATTATAAGGACTGATCATCAGTCACTGAAGTATCTCTTGGATCAGAAGCTTAACACTGCTATCCAACACAAGTGGATGACTAAACTTTTGGGGTTGGACTATAAGATAGAATATAAGAAGGGAGCTGAAAATTTGGTAGCGGATGCCTTATCCAGGAGGCATGAACCTGCACAAACAAAAGAGCTGGGGTCCTGCTTAGCCATCACATCTGTTAAACCTGGTTGGATGAAGGAGTTGCAGAAGAGCTATGAAGGGGATTTGCAATGCCAAGATATCTTGAGCCAACTGGTTCTAGACCCCAATGCACACGCTGAGTATAGCCTGATGGATGGAATTCTGAAGTACCAGGGGAAGATTTATGTAGGGGGAGCCAACAACATTAGGAGCCAACTGATTCAGACCTTGCATGACTCTGCCTTGGGAGGGCACTCAGGCCAGAGAAACTGCTGGCAGAAGCTCAAATCCTTGTTTTATTGGCCTGGAATGAAGCAGGCAGTGATTGCATATGTGCAGAACTGTGATACTTGGCAGAAGAATAAAGCTGAGCATGTTCCTTATCCCGGATTGCTACAACCAATTCCTGTTCCTCAACAAGCATGGCTTCACATTACTATGGACTTTATTGAGAGATTGCCTAAGTCACAAGGGTATGACACTGTCCTGGTAGTGATAGACAGATTCACCAAGTTTGGACACTTCATCAGACTCACTCATCCCTTCACAGCTAAGACAGTCGCTCAGATTTTCCTAGACCATGTCTACAAGACGCATGGACTGCCAGAGTCTATCATCACTGATAGAGACAAAGTGTTCACCAGTGTGTTCTGGAAGGAGCTTTTCAAACTGGTTGGAGTGAATCTTCATTATTCATCAGCTTATCACCCTCAGACTGACGGCCAGAGTGAAAGGTTAAACCAGTGTGTAGAAAGTTATCTAAGATGCATGACTGGTGAACTACCCTCACAATGGAGTAAGTGGCTACCACTAGCAGAATGGTGGTACAATTCCACCTTCCATTCTAGCTTGAATATGACCCCTTTTGAAGCTTTGTTTGGATACAAACCTACACCATTGCCACTAGGTCCATACCTGGATTCAGTGGTACCTACAGTGACTGATATGGTCCAAGAGAGAAGCAGAATTTCAAGCTGCATCAAGGAACATCTTGCGAAAGCTCAACAGCGTATGAAGCACTATGCGGACCAGCACAGGACTGAGAGGAGTTTCTCGGAAGGAGATTGGGTGTTCTTGAAACTACAACCTTACAGGCAGCAAACTGTAGCAGTAAGGAAATGTCTCAAATTGGCTGCCAAGTATTACAGACCATTCCAGGTTGAGGAGAAGGTTGGAGCAGTAGCCTACAAGCTTAAACTACCAGCTGATGCAAAAATTCACCCTGTGTTCCATGTTTCTCTTCTTAAAAAGAAGCTGGGACCGTTGCAATCTAGCTCCCCTAAGTTACCCGAACTGGACGACTGTGATCAATGTCCATTGAGACCAGAAACTATACTTAAGCGAAGGGCTATCATGTGTGACGGAAGGACTGTCATCCAATTCTTGATCAAGTGGAATCACTTGGGCTATGATGAAGCTTCATGGGAAGATAAGTCATTCATTGAACACCAGTTCCCTGAGTTCCAGACTTGAGGACAAGTCTGTTCTTGAGGGAGGAATTGTTAGGAGCGGGTAATTAGGTTAGAAATTGGGAAATCGGGTCAGAGATTGAGGGCATGAAACGATGTCGTTCCATTTAATAGGAATTTATTTGGGTAGGGCGGCTAATTGCTTAGTCGGATGAATGTATTAAAGATAGGCCCCACTTGTGTACAAGGGGACAAGAAATAACTGAATTAGTTGCTTCCCTCTCTGCTCATTTCTCTCTCTTTTCTTCTTGCTTCCTTCTTCCTTCCGGATATTCCCTTTCCCTCGTCAGGTTCCATCCAGATTGCATGATTATTACTTCAGAGCCTAACACGATGACACTAGTATCGTGTTATTAGGGTAACTTGTCTTACAAAACTTGGGGAGGGACAGGGGTCACCTATGCTAGGTATGCCGACCACAGCATGTCGATTAAGGTTGTTACGCATCTCTCGATCTCTCGATCTATTTTCAGAGAATGGTACTCATATATATTATAATTGTATCAGAGCAACCAATATCATATTTTGAATCATTAGATTTGCAAATCCATAATTTGTACTTTTTCGAAGTTGCCTTAAAGATTACAATTATGTGTGTGGTTTATTACGGTGACGTTTGTATTAGATCTATTATTTTTAGTTTTTCTATCTTGGCCGTATGAAGGAATTGAATTCATCATAAAACAAGAGCTATTGACGTAAATCACCTACTTTGGTTCTAGCATCAATAGTCACATGTCGGCTCCGAGATTTACGTATAGTGGCTATGATCCGTCATAATTGACCATTATTAACTGGTCTACTGATTCTTTGACTTTAAATCATTGTTTATTTGCTTTCTATGGCTAAACAAAGTTCATGTTTGAAAAGCAAAAGGTTTTGGAGGACCATGAATCAAGAGTGACAGGTGTCGAGCCTGTACAATAATAAATATCTACTCAATAAAAATATGAATTTTGTATAACATAGTCAGTAGGGTCAAATCTATAGGTATTGGAGATAATTCGTTTCTTTCAGAATTTGAAGTATAAGGGATTTTTAGAAAATATAAAATAACTAATTAACCAACTAATGAAACAACTAATACAAATAAATAGGAATTAATCAATAACCAATACGACTCCAGCCAAAGGTACAATTTTTCAGACACGGTTCATTCAATTGATCATCGATGCAAAGATAATTCAATTACTCATTAATAGATTGGTTATAGTTGCCATACACGCGATAAACAACTAGCCTTTCCTTAGTTTTTCGATAGTCAAGGTACGACCATTAACTATTTCCCTAACCAAGAAATAACCCGAGGTACGATCATAGAATTTAATTTCTCGATTGCAATAAGAATTAGAAAAGCCTACTCCTAACTAACAAACATGCTACAAGGGTTCGTTTAAGTTAGATTATACGTTTCCCTAACATGAAACCAATCACGCTAGTCGTCACTGGTATTAATTAATTGAACAATTACGAATTCAATCAATTAATCTGACAGTAGATTACTAGGTTAATTCGAATATCGAGCTCTTGACATTCAAATAACATAACAAGCATAAGAAGTTAAATCGAAAAACGTACAAATACCAATGTATAAAAGAAATAAGTAAATTAATTCGATCTCACAGATGCTTGGAACCGAATCCTCAAATTAACCTTCGACTAGAAAATGGAGATTCAGTTACACATCCTCAAGGGAGATCCGTAGGACTCCGTCGAAAAATGAGTGCAATTGATTTTTCTCCTTAAAACTAATGAAAAGGCCAGCCGACAAGCAAAAGCAAGCCACGGCTCTCTTTCCAAAAGTCCTAAAAAGAAACCTAATGACTACTAATTAATAACAAATTTGGCCTCTCCTTTCAGCAACCGAAACTAGAATTCTAATTGAAAAAGGTAACTCCAAGAATAATGCCAATTGTTTCCTAAATAAATATCTAAGAAAAATGGTAATTTTCTAATCTTCTGCCAATGATCCACGTGGACTCCATCTTAAATTGAAAAACTCTTGAAAAATCACCTCTTTTATTACTTTTGCTCCACCTTCGTACAATTGGCACCAAATACCAAATATAAGTAGAATCGATCAATTAATACAATATTTAGCTAGAATAAAAGGAAAAATAATTATAAATTAAATGACAATTTCACACCCTATCAAAGAGTTCAGACACGAACTCTTTATTGTCAAGGTATGACATATCGTAAGATTTTTAAGTGCCTAAATATCCTCTTGGCTGCTGTTTTCTATAACGTACATGGCTATTGATCCTTGCTCGAACCATGATCTTAAGGTTATGGCTTTTCAGTACTAACGGTGTGACAATTCATACTTGGTTTATGGGCCCGCTCTCTTTAAAGAATGTATGTTTCTCAATTATTGAAGTTGATCTCTCTTCATTTTCTTTGGCCAGAGCTGGAGATAAATTTCCACTTCCACTT